ACCATGCGTGTGTGATAATGCGCCACTTGCCGCTACACCTCCTCTACCTTCGAACACTTTTTATTACTTTTAAACGAGGTTATTACTCACATTAAAGTTTTCTGCTCTTTTGCTCTTTTCTATCCCATCGTTTATAGGCCTCCAGGTTTTCACGACTAACGCCTGTATGAATAGTAGTTAAAGGCACAGTTCACGATAAATTTAGGGTACCCGTTTTTTGACGGGAAACGATAGATCCGCTCCAGAATAGTGCGATAATAACGAAGAAAGAGCAAAAAACGACAAATGGGAAGGAATAACAAGATTCAAAAAAGAGGAGAAAAGGAGGGCTGGACGAGTTCTACAGTGAAAAAAAGATGATTAAGGGAAATGTGACGCAATATCTGCAAGTGCACACAACACACTCAAACCGCTGATTTTGCCTTCACTGTTGGGTAAACACTAGGCAAACAGCTAATTTCGTGATGAAGGGTGGATCCTGACGTGAATACATGACTCTGTACGCGTCTACATCTCGTATGACGTGACATCGATCGTGGGGCGGGAAAGCCAATCACGACAACAACAGGGCTTGCACTATACCCTGGACGTCGAGATTGGNGGAGTGAGAGGGTCCCTCCTACCACTCGTGGGGGGAGCTGAGTCTTCCTAAAGGGAGAACACAGTAACCTTTTTTATCTTGAACCGTGCCTTTAAACTCAACTACATTGTAAGCATGTCACCTACGGAGGGCGATCGAACATGTGTCTATAATTTTAGAGCAAGGTACATCTGCAGTCAGAGCTGATTCTTACTCCTGATGGCTTAGCTACTGCAGTATAAATTGTATCAACTCTTTCTCGAAAAAGGTCGTATTTTGATGAACGCCACCAGCTTCAATAGTCCTACCTTAATCCATTAGGGTGTCATAGGGTTCATAAAAACTCTCAATAGGAATTGGTTCAAAGGAAAATAACAGTGTGAGGGTAGCAGGTTGAAAACGTTTCTCAGAAAGGATCTTGCCATTCTTGGATGTCATTTCGTTAATTGTGGAATTGAAAATTTTTCCTTCTAGGCGTCATGTCTATCAAACGCCTTCGCCATTCAAAAGTTGACGTTTGAGTTGTACCAATGACGTCTTTCCTTTGAAATAACACGATGAAGCAGAAAGCTGTCGAAAAATGAAATGTCCTACATTGTCGGTCGTGGGTTTGATGGCAGAGACTTCCAGACATCAAAAGAATGACGTCACTATGTCTAATCTGATTCCGGAAACTTTTGTATTCATCCGAAAGAAGGTGTGACATTGGCACCGATGAATTTGAATTATATTAGGCAAACAATAGGATTGGAAAAGGAGAGCGGAGGTGGTTGAAAGTTGAGACCTTCATGGGAAACCGTTTTCGTAAAAATATGCCTGACTAATGGTATGTTTACTTTGTGTTTACTTTAATCAAAGGAGAAATATTACGAAATAATGTGGTATTTAAACAGATTATTCATATGACGTGTTCCCTGTTCGACCCCACAAAAGCTATCGAACATGGTAACACAAGGAACCGCTAGTGCTGAATTTATGAAGTCTAGGCAATTTCCCTCTAACTCATAACCCATCTTACCCAACTCCAAAATATTCAAAGGCACAGTTCACGATAATTTTGGGTAACCCAGATTATGACGAAAAATGGAAGATAAGATGGAAAATATTGCGATAGAGGCGGAGGATGTGTATGGACAGGTGATTCCAAAGTGAAAAATGCTCCGAAAAATCCTTACAAAGGAGGCTGGACGAGGATGAGACCAGAAGAATGAAGAAGAGTAGGGCGTGTGGACGAGCTAAGCACAGTGTGTCATTGCGTACGTGTGGGTCCCGGTGCAAATATCTGACTAC